TCGATGCACAGGAGGGGCACCTGGCTGGCTCAGAGGTTCCTGCCATCATCAGACTACTAGGAGTCAACTGCAAGAAAGAAAACCAGACACAGATCTGAGTAGTGTGGCACATGACCCCAGCCCCCATGATCCCTCTACTCACCGTCACCCAGGCAGGTTCTCGTGTCACTGGCTCTGACCAGACTTGGACAATGTGCTGTCATCTTCTGGGATACCTGAGAGAGAGAAAGACACAATTAGAGGGCATTTCTGAAGTTGCAGTGGATCCCTGCTCCTGCTGCTGCCTCCACAACTCACCTTCAATGCTCATCTGCTCCCAAAGGTTAGCTGGATGGCACCTGCAATCAAAACAGCTCAGTGCTTCATTGCTGATCCTTTTAATACTCGGAGATTACCTACAAGGACAGCTCCAGGGCACCGAACCGTGTCCATCACCTCACTGTGAGTTGGCTTCGGCCCTGTGAGGCTGCATACATCTCCTGCAAAAAAACCCAGAGGCAAATGTGAGTACTGAGATACAAACCAAGAGTATGTTGATCCCATGGAAGTTTCTGTCTGACACCCCTTGACCGTGGCCTCTTACAGGCAGGGTCCCCATCACAGTGGACTGTACGTCACCTGGGGGAGTGAGAAAAAAAGTTACGGGGTGTTCCTGAAAGTAAGGGAGACCCCAGCACCTCCTCAATACCTCCCCGACTCAACCTCAATGCTCCTCCTTTGCCAAAGGCAGGCAGGAGGGCACCTGCAACTGGAAAAGGTCCATCTTTAATTGATGAGCCTTGTAGTAGTAGGAGACTACTGATGAGGACAGCTGAAGACCATCAAACCTAAACTGGCAAGTGGCTCCGGCCCTCTGAGGCTGCACACCTTCTCTGCAAAGTAAAAAAGCTAAAGGCAAATGTTCACACTGAGATACTGCCTGAAAGGATGGCTTTCCTGGGGTAGCTCCTATCTGCCTCTCCTCCACAGTCACCTCTTACCCGCAGGGGCCCTGAAGCACTGGACTGTCTGTTAGAAGGTGGCAGAACCCCTGGAAAACACAAGAAACAAAGCATGTGCACAGATTCACCACAACACCTGGAAAAGACCATCTAGTCCTGTCCTGGAGTCAATGCTCACCTTGCTCACCGGGACTCACCCGGATCACCTCCCCTCCGGTGCCTGGAGCCTCCTGGGCCCAGGGCTCTGCATCTCAAAACAAAGAAAAAACAAACCCAAACAAG